CTTTTTCTAACCAGTCTATCAAAACTTGCGACGTCATCCAGGCCTTCCGGTTGAAAGTATATTCGGTGGGTAGAGTCTTGACGTGCTTGAAACAGCGAGGTTTTCCAGACTTGCCGATCACCAGCAGGGGGAGCTTCTCTGACCCATCCATGTTCGCAGCGACCATGACTGTCAAACGTTCCTTGCTTTTTTTACCACCGACGCACGGATCTCCCTTGAAACAGATTGTTTTGTTCGGCAGGAGACGGTAGAAGAGTCCCGTCTCATCTGCATTGAATACATTCCGAGGAGCGAAAGGTGCGAGAAGTGTCGGGAGTTTTTCAATAGACCATTTTGTAACCATAGATTCATTTACTGAAGCTCCCTCGCCGCACACATCGCGGAAAACCAGTTCGTGTCTGGCTTTCATCCGATCCAGCCAACCATTGCTACACTCGAAGGAGAACCTACCGAGCTGTCCCGCCAAGCTCAGGGCTTTCTTTCTCAATAAGGGCCCATCAACAGGAACGTTCTGTGACCTTACGCATTGGAGCCATTTCAAGAGGGCCTCCTCAACGTCGTCGTAGGCTGCGGATCTGATCTTCTTCTTCCGGCTAAGAACTAAACTGTCACTTGCGTCTCGGAGCTTGTCTCGACTTTTCCAAATCGTGTTCACAGACTGCTTCGATAGTCCACGATTTCTGCAAACTGTTGCCTGACTCACACCGTTCGTAATTTCTTCGATTATTTCAAGTTTAGTTTTGATATCGAGACACAAACGTTTCGCTTTTGAGGACATCGTCGGCAACAGCAGCAGCTGAGTCAGCAGCTGTTGGCCACGTGAACGTCGCTTCGGCTCTCGCTGCGACGCGCACGTCCACGAGCAACGTTGCAGGAGGCTCGATAAAGGATCGTCTCCGAATTTTCGCTCCGTACGAGCAGGTCCGTTATAACCGAGTCAAATTGCATAGGACGAGATAGGACTGGGGCCGGGGAACCAGTCCGCTACAGGCGAGAGTCCGTTATCCGGGTCCGCTATATCCGAGTAGCTTTATATGGGAGGTCCCATAGGCTCGGCCGGGACCCGAAAATTAGTCCGTTATAGGCGATTTTCCGTTATATCCGAGTCCGTTATAACGGGGTTTTACTGTATATCATTCCGTCACAACCGCAGACGCGTGTCCCACGTGAACGCCACGTGCTCGGACTTTTTTGGACCGAGGACTCCCCGCCGTCGCACATGTACTTTCGAAGATGGTCAAGAGATATCTCGCGTCATGCTCCATCTTGATATGCGTCGTATGCGGGTTTATGCAGAATATGCGGATTTATGCGTTTTCTGCAGATTGTGCAAATTCAAGCGCTTTATGCGGATTTATGCCAATTTTCAGATGCATGAAAGTCCGGGCTTATAAAATATTTAGTGAGGAGACTTCGAGAGTTCTTCATGCGTGAGCACAGTGTTCAAGATATCTATGCAAGAATTTACGCATTCAGCCGAAGGGAACTTCATGTTTTCTAGTCCCGCACCAATCAAGACAGATCTTGCAAGTTTCATAGCAGTTCTGTCCCCTCGTCCGGCGTAGCTGTTCTGCTGGGCAGTGTATGCGCCTGAAAAGGTTTCTTCTGCGCCGATTTCAGCTAGAATCTTTTCGACCCCTTGACTCTTGCATTCAGTTCCTTCATCCGTATGGAGACGTTTGATGTGCTCTTCAGTCAGATTTCTGAAGAACTGCGTACATCGTCATGTCGTGCGTATATTACTTATCCCGCTAGAGGGGGCCAGAGTCAGACGCTCGAGAGAGCGATCTGTAGCTGTCAGCGCCAAGCGTTATCGACGTGGGAAGTTGAGGTAGACGGTCAGGACTCGAGTGTGAAGAGCGTAGTGCCTACACATCGAGAGCATGCATCGAGAGTGAATGACAGACAATACCTCAATAAAGCCGATCAAATACTAGTTCGTGTCATCTGTGTGTCCCCGAAGACAAGTATCACTACAGTCAGATACACTGAATCGTTTCATCCTTCGTTTTCAGGAAATATACCTTGCGGAATTTCGGGTACTCATCGTACCCGAAAGGCCTGCCCTAGGATTCTGTAGCGGGGCTACAGATATCGGCGGATACGAAACCGATTTGCTTAGACTTAGCCCTTACTTAGTTCTGCTCTTGGGAGCATTGACACTAACTTAGGAAGGGTATCTTCGGCACATCGAAGCCGGACTGATAAATAATAGATGAGTGATAGGAGTTATGTTCTCCGATTCCAATAACTCATAGACTTCATCAGTTTCAACACCCTGATTTTCGAAGCATGTGGTTGCACGGCTGGCACGAGTCCGGCTTCGATGTGCCGAAGATACCCTTCCTGAGTATCGCGCAGAGGTTGCTCCCGGTCACCGAAATTTGTTCCGGTGATGCTTGCCATGGAATTTCGTGTCTCCAAAGCGTACATTGCACGCAGGATTTATGTGCGGAATGCTTTTCCTTGGACTACCACGATAGAGTTCGAAAGAATGAATTTCCCCATTGCGTACATATAGAGGCGCTAATTGTTAGGCTACTTGGCGGGCAGGGGAAGTGTACCACTAATCAAGATGGTGTTCTGGCGCCAAATTTGAGCTGAGCGACTCAAAAACCTGAGCTCTCGACAGTATAGCTCTGGCAGATACAATATCCGTCAATCGTTCACAGTGTTTTCCAGTTTTCCCATGTAGTCAATGCTTAAGGGCGAATTTTCGATAATTATTCGAACACCCTTTAAGTGGCCATACGCAGATAACCTCCTAGGGTTAAACTTCTCTCGGGGCGGGGATACTGTGACCGAAGTTCCAGCCCGATCGGCGTGTTACATGTTCGGCACTCCCCTTGTAAGTGGGATGGAAGGTTTACCCTTACCACGGTGTGATGGACACTATATAAGCCTTGGATATATTAGAATGAAGATTACCGGGTTTGAAGGCATCCACCGCCTAGTTTGTTCTGAACGCGTTATCAGCACGAATAGCTCTAAGAACCAACTGCTGGAACATTATACGAATATCTTCGCAGACATGGTGGATGTTTTCCGTGAACGATGCAAGTAAGGTGAATCATGTTTGGGAAAACTACCTTCGAACCGTTTCCCGCCTTCCTCATGTTAGGCGCCGCATCAGACACGAAAAGTGGGACTCTGTCATGTTCGACTCCGCTGGGCCAAAGAAGATTCAGTGAGTTTAGGAACGTTTGAGCGACTGATGCGTGGTTCGTGTGTTCTACTACTTATGACCCTATTAGGAAAGCATCTGAAGGTTGTTCAGGACTAGGGGTGCCAATCACCGTGTTGACTACATATTGTCCTTTCGCGTCAGTTGTTTCGTCCACCAAAACCCAAATACTGCTTTCTCCGACCGCTTCGCATATCCTCTCGAGCGTTGCATCGTATAGCTTCCTGAGGTAGTTCTTCCTGAGTGATGTATGATCTAGCACTTCGGAGCTACAATACTTCCCTGCAAATTTCCGGAGTGAAGGGTTCTGGATTTCGAATAACGGGATGTTCGATTCGACTAGCATTTGACAGAGATCCATACTAAAGTGGCTCTCCTTGTTCGATAGCTCTAAGAAGTTCGTCCGCAAACGCAAGTGCTGGTGTCCGCTTGAAGATCCCTTCACTCGAGAACTCACATGCTGCTAGACGAAGTACTTTTTCCCCGTGTTCATGACCTCCCCACACACTCGGCGCGTGAGAACAATTCCGTCGGTGGTGAAAAGCTCAGTTCCGAATCCCCTCACATGACGCTCCAGCCTCGATTTCAAGCACAATTTTTGCTTCGGCATTTTGAACAATTCAAGCTTTGAAACTGCCGAAAACAAAGCGAAACAGGAGATTCCTCAGACGAAGAGGAATGCATCCATCAGTGTAAACATAAAGGCTCTGTTTACTACCTTATGAGAGTGTCTTATGACTTATGAGAGTGAATCGGACGGCTCTTTCGTCTCGTCCTCCTCTGGGCACCGACTCTCCTCCCCCCTGGATGTCCCAGGTCGATTTGAGTCGTCCGTACTTTTCCGCGCTTTGGATCTGTACCTTACCGTGGTCATCCCCAGAGGCGGGAAATTTTGTGCCATATATTCAAACATAGCTTCATCGGTTTGAGACTGCATTTGTGTCCCAAGCCGCTCCCGCATTTCCTCATTTCTCCTTTCGAAGCTGGTGGCTCCGGCTTTCGTCCTCTCCTCAATCTCTTGGGGAGAGAAACCGGTTGCCTCCCTTAGGTGTTGAGCTACTAGGACCTCTAGGTCCTTCACTCCTTTGTCCGTCAGACCGTAAAGCTCTGGATTGTCTCAAATCGGCCTACGTGAAAAGTCCTCTGGCGGCATATTTCTTGCATCCAGGATTCGTATCGCTCCCTTCTGCACCGCCTCCGCCTCATAAATGGCTTTATTCACGCCAGGGGTTATTCCACATAGCGGATCCCGGATCATCGAAATCCATGACAGTGTCTCAATTCGACCCGTCATGGCTTTCAGCAGTCTTAGTGGCCGCAAGATTCCGTCATGCACCCCCAGTACAGTTTGGTCTTTTTTTGCCTGCTTGATATCTGTCAGGCCACACGATACGAGGAGGTGGAAATCAGTCGTTTTATACTTTTTTACGATTCTGGTGATCTCCGCACACATTTCTTGTGTGCTTCGAGATCGGTGCTCCCTCCATATCACGTATTTATCCCCACCAAAGACACTCATGATGTCGCCCTTGGTTTTTGGACGTTTAACGGCCGCTAAGGTCCGATCTTCCATGAATAATATCGCCGGCGATCTGATCTCTTGGATCATCTGATCGGCGCGGCCGGGCAGACGATTCGAGCATTGAACATGATCATATGTTTCTAGCTGTTCGTCTGCAGGTTTTCCTTTTCTCTCTCGAGATCTCTGACCGATCAGCAACCGAGACGGAAATCCGTGCCTCAAAAAAATTTATAGGCCGAATGTCTTCATCTTTTTCCCGATCTCTGGCCTGGTAGACGATTCGAACATTATATTCCTAACACTAGCTCGACACTATCATTGCTCTGAAAATGATCGTCTCTCCACAGAATAATGATATAGTCATCCAAGTCATACGAGAACGAGATGTTTCACGTCTTCTCATCGGAAAACCGCGCCCCGGATATTAGAGAATCCGGATATAGAAAAAGAGACAGTTTTCAATTCCCCGAGAGGTCTCTTATAGGCGGGTTTGACTGTATGCATTTCTCCACTCCCCAAGGATGCTCGATTTGCGCTCGCTCGGGAAGAACTGAGCAATGGACGGCTCGAATTGATATGACGCTTTTCCAGACGCCCACATCGATCGGCGGATCGTAGCGATCAGGAATCGGTTTCGGTAGTTTCTGCGTTCAACATCGCATCGTCGCAATCACTGGAGAAATCGCATCCAAATTGTATATCAGGAATCGCTTTAAAGAATGCTTCAATGGTTTCGATTGAGATCCAATCATAATATTTCGACATGACAGTGATTTCCAGGATATATTTCAGCTGATTTCGCTTTATCAGCTGTTGTGACAGCCGATCTCGTATTATCAGCTTTTGTGACAGCCGATCTCGTATTATCAGCTTTTGTGACAGCCGATCTCGTATTATCAACTGCGGCGGTAGCTGATCTACCTCGATCAGCTGTTGCGGTAGTTTGCTTTCATTGCGATTGTTGGGGCTCATCCATGAGGTGACTTTCCAAGAGTTCGACGAGCGGTCGAAGTTCGTTCTGTGATTAGAGGACTTTTCGAACTCTCAATCGTTTCTGTTTCAAGATCTCATT